CTGAAAGAAGTTAATTCATTTTCATTGGACAGTAGCTTCATGAGGTAAAGGGAGGAACCAAGGATGTCTCCCAGGTTTCAAGCATGAACACCTGTATGGAGGCAGTATCTGCCATTCAGGGAAGAGAAACACATCTCCAGGTCTGGAGTGGGAGAAAGAGATCATGAACTTAGTTTTACATACACCAGTTTAAAACGTTGTGAGATATCCAAGTGGAGAAGTCAACTAGACAAGTTGGACATACAGGTGAGAAAATCAGGAGAGGTGTAGGCTAGAATTATAAATTTAAGAATCAACAGCAAATTAATAGTAAATTAAGCCATGACCTGGAGAAAATTGCAGAGAGAGAAAGTATGAAACAGTGAGGTAAAAAAAAGTGGCCTAAAATGAGCCTCAATGACCTCTCAATAAAGATCAGGTGGAAAAGAAAAAGCCAGTAAAGGGGATGCAGAAGTAGCAGCCAACAAAGGAAGAGGAAAACTAGCAGAGATCATTCCATGAAAGCCAAAGGACAGAGTGCTGTTAAGAAGAGTGATCAACAGTGTGGAATACTGCTCAGAGATCATGGAAGGCACTGAAAAACATCCAAGGGACTTAGCAATACAGAGGTGACCAGCAAACTTCATAAGAGCTTAATAGAAGCTCTGATAGAAGTGACACCAGGTTGAAATGAACTCATGAGTACAGGAGAGAAAATAAAATGGAGGCGGGGAATATAGAAAACTGTTCCAAGAAACTTGGCTAAGATGGGGAGGAGAAAAATTGGGGTTGGGAGAGTAAAGTAGAGAGAGAGGGTTTGGGGGGTTGTGACTGCATGGTTTTTTGTTGTTGTTGTTGTTCTCTTTTGTTTTGAGGATGGAAGAGAATAAACATATTAAATGCTGATGAGGGAAGAAGGTAATAAGGAAAACTGAAGATACAGGAAGGAGAATTTCTCAACTGTGACCTTCAAGGTTGCCAGGCAATCCTGTGGTTTCTTTATACAGCTTTTTATTCTCTATCAGTTATTTTAGACCTTCTGCATTCTCTTTAAACCTCCAACCTCATACCTTCTACTTTTCAAAAATAAAAAGGGCAAAGAACCTACCAGATGGAATTTCAAATTCTTACCACAAATTTCCACCTTGGTACCATCTGTTTTTGTTCCTCTTGAATGCCAAATAGCAAAGGCTTTCTCTCAATTGCAGTCATTCTTGACCTCCGCAATATTCCTACTCCTTCCATGGCTGTCGGGACATTACTATTCTCCTGGTCTTTTTCCTCTTTGATTATTCCTTCTCTGTCCCTGGACACATATTCCTCTTTCTCCATCTGTGACTTTCCTTTTTTCCAATTATAAAGTTTATTTTTTTTTATTGTGTATAATACCTTTCAAAGCATTTTTTCACATCACATTTTGATCCTCACTTAACTTGTTGAACTGAGAAGTCTCAACTCATTGAGATATAAACATAGAGTCATTTCATATTTTCCCCCAAAACTGTTCGGTTGAATCCTAAACCTGCTGAGTACAATCAGTGAAATTCCAAAATTTACCAGTCACATTCAATCATCAAACCATAGTTTTTAAATCCCTTCTATGGACAACCTGCCACATTAGCACAAGTGAGAATTATACAGCCTCTACCAGATGCCTATGGTGGGGAAAGGTTCAATCATCAAACCATAGTTTTTAAATCCCTTCTATGGACAACCTGCCACATTAGCACAAGCGAGAATTATACAGCCTCTACCAGATGCCTATGGTGGGGAAAGACATGGTTTGTTCTCACTGGGTCTCTCCTCCTCTCCTCTCCCATATTCCCTCTCCCATTCTCCTACCTTGACAAACTCATGTCCTCTGCCATAAGTGGCAGCTGTGGGAACAGAGCAATATTCTACTTACAAGAGCTTGCTAGACATTAGTGATGGGTCTGCTACAGTCATCAGCCAGTCCTTCTCCAGGGGTTCAAGTCATGCCAACTGCCAACAGAGTCAAGTGCTGCCAGGAAGAGGTGTGTCCATAGTCCTTCTCTGATTTCAGTCTGAGGTCAGTGGCTTCTACTCATCTTTGCAGTAGATGGTGTTTTCTATATAGACAGTATATGTGGTTCTCTAGAGTTTTGCATATACTCACCTAACCAAGTGTCCCAATAGGAAGCCCCTATGACTCCACCATCTTCATTTATGTCTAGGCTCCTTCCCTCACATAAACCATGAGACTCACTGGTGTCCTCTTTACTTGACCACTGAGAACTCCTTCGGAAGGATACTCTCCTGGAGTCCCTTCAAGCCCAGCTGGCACAGGCTATTCCACCAAGCCTATTGTGGTATGAAATCTCTAAGGCACCAGTCTCTATGTAAGGGTGTCCCCAAGCTTCCAGAAACACACGTCAGGTTCCCCCCAGGTTGAAATGGGAAATAGGGACAGGAAAGCAAAATGTGTTCCCAGCATGCTTTTCTCCAAACTCTCTCAACACATTCCAAAGACACCAAAATTGGTCAGTAGAGCAAACATTTAGCAAGAGAAGAAGATGCCAGAAATCCGTCCTGCAGCCACACCCACAAACTTCACAACCAATTCTTTTAAGCCTCACTTCAAACTTTTGTGAGAACAAGTGAAGGGGATGGCCACCACTTCATTAACTGTGCACCTTCCAAAAGGCAATCTCCTCCCTGCCCACCCTCTAGGCCACTTTGTAAGGGGGCAAGGGAAATGTAAAAATTAATGATAGAGTATAGTTTTGTTAGAGCGTCAGATCTTAGTAAGTGATGCAGTGAAGTAGCTGATACCATAATAGTCACATCTTCAAACTCAAAAAAATGAGAAATTTAGCCTCCTCTGACTACAGTGGTGGGGTCTGGTAAGCAGTCCTGGGCAAATAGGAAAGATACTTTTCACTATCATGGTACACTTATCATGTGAATTACATGACAGGTGTCATTCACTGCACTTTTACCTACAAGACACAGAACTGAACTGTGGTTATTTAACTAAGACTAAAACACAAAAATCACAAATAGGGATAAATCCTTCAGTACATCAACAAAACAAGAGTTGAATCCACCTACAAAATGAAGAAAATCTCTGGGTTTTGTATCTCACAAAGGTACTACCAAATGAGATCATGGAAGGCAGTGCTTTGATGATAAGAATAGAGCAAAACGAAAACAAAAAAGGGAACACTGGTCACTATATACCAGGCATGTACTTAGACCAAATGTTAAACTGTATCATTCTGACATTATCAACTGTAAGTCCTAGATGGGGAGAGGGGTAAGATAGAGTATGAAAGTAACTTCTGACCTTCCAGATTTTATTTCTCAGCACAAGTCTTTGAGTATCTTGGCACAGTACAAAGAAAGGAGAACAAATCTCTGTTCCTCTCACTTTGTTAAAACCTTCTCCATCCTTTCAATCTACAACTTACACAACAGATTTCTATTACTGTTAAGCTTTCACAAAGCTTTGGATGAATGAATGACAGAAGCCAAAATAAAAGCCACACTTTCTTAATGCCAATTCTAGCTTCCTCAAACACGGTAGTAACAGAGACAGGTGCAAGAGTTTCTGCTTATCACAAAAAGATATGATTGCAACTAGTCAATCCCACTTCTCTAAAGAAGTATGAGGAGTCTTCAAAAAGTTCATGGAAGGATTCATATTATCTTTTTTTTTTTTTTCCTTATTTCTTTATGGAAAGATTTGTTTTCCTCCCAGATTATCTTTCAATTTCATTTTCCATGAACTCTTTGAAATACCTTCATTTACAATTTTACAAACAAATTTGATTTCTTCAATCAGCCTTTGGTATTTTTAATTACAAAATCAAACAATCTGCTGATCTGATTGATCTCTAGGGCTGACCTAGACATTCTCTAAGCCCACATGCTCATTTAATAAGAAACTATAACCCAAAACTAAGCCCAGCAGTGTTTTCTACCACAACACACTTACTCATTATACTCCAAGGATATGATATTAATTTAAAATATTTTTTTTAAAACATAAGTTTTTACATGCTGATAGTAACAATATTAATTGTTACAACCGCACCATGTATTTGGATTATTTCAACTACTATTCATTTTGAAACCTGCTTCGTTGAAACATTTTTAAGAAAGTCTAAAACCTACTTTGGCTGTTTCCAATTTAAGAGGAAACACAGCTGCTGTCTCAACATATAACTTTTCTTCGACCTTTCATATATTTCAAAAGCTAATGAATTCCAGGGTTTCAACCATGTTCACCATAAAAACATTAAGCTACCCCTTTAATATTTCTATGAAGATGTATCATCCTGGTTTTTCTCAAAATAATTTTATTCAATAAAAAGTAATATAGTTTATAGTTAGGATTTTCTAAAAGGCCAGGCTTTTGGGTAAATTTTTAGAGACAGAGTATGCTATGTATCTGTTTAATATCCTATTACAAACACAAGGTTATCTAAAATTAGAAAACACACCTTACAATGACATCCCAATCCCACCCAGGATTGTTTATGCTTAGCAATCAATCTCACTTTTCCCTTACCAGAGTGAATTAGGAGAGTGATAAGTATCTCAATGGAAAGGGAGCAATGTCCAATTAAAGACATTAAACATGAAACCAAAGAATGTGAAAATCTCACTAGTGCCACCTATAGTACCAACAGAGAATGCAGATAAAAAAAGATTTCTAAAATAATTGTGTGTGTGTGTGTGTGTGCAGGTATCCAACCCTTTCATTTCTTACCTGGGATTATTTATCAAGACAGCTTTCTACCAAATCTTTCACAGGATATAAGAGTACATAATTAGTTAATTTTTTTACAAAAGCACTCTTCAATATCAAGACAACCTGAAGCATAATGCTGATTTTAGTGTACAGATCAAAAGAACAATTTCATTAGAGGTAATAAAATGAAAAGCATACAGAATTTATTAAAACTAGAAAAGATGAGGTAAATGATAAAATCAAATGCAGCAAAAATTGGAGAATCTGACTTCAAATGGATACAAAGCCTCAAACCAAACCTTACCTTACATTCCACCACACTCTGGTCTGATTCACAAGTTACATAGATTTCATCTACTGCCCGGCGAAGATTGTCAAAAAGAAATGCCCAGTATCGAGCTCTTAGGTCAATTTTCCGAGGATGTCTTGTTTTAGTGGGACTTTTATCAAAGTGCTTATCTCCTGTGGTAGATGATGTTATTTTACAGTCTACTGCAGTGTTCTGGTGAAATAAAACATGGGAAAATATAAATTAAAAGGCTTCTGAGTGTTGGATTTTTGTAGAAAGTACATTTTTCAACATAAATACTTAAAAACAAGATCTTCTTTTCAGCTTATATCACACTTTAGTTCATCAAAACAAGTTTCTCGCCTTAAACTAAAGGGGCAAGTTCATAAGGTTGATTTTTATTTCAGACATGTTTTACTTAAGATTAGGATGAGTTTAATGGTGAACAGATCCTTAGCAAAAAAAGGATCACTAAAGTTGCTCCTGATTTACTGGAACAAGTGTATGGCATGTTTATATATATTCACAAATTATGAAGCACTACTTCCATGTTTTGAAGTTGCTTGCATATATTCTTTTCATTTAGTAATGCCTTATACTATAGTTTTAATTCAACTATTTAACTTTATCTTAAACTACTTCCACTAAAAGTAAATTTTAATATATAGTTAGGCAATAATTTAATAGAAAAGAAAACTTAAAGAACTAATGAAACCAAGAACCAGCTACAGACAGAGCAGACTCACCAACAAAAAGTAATTTTAGTGTTCACATGACCCATTCTTTCTTCAGTTGCTCAGGCAGACTTTGAAAATACAGAATTATAATCTATAGTTTTACAGACTGAACTACAGAAACGTTTTACCAAAATCACGAGCAGCAGTTTACTGATATTAAGACCTAAATTCAAAACACAAACCTGAAGCTACTCATTAGAAGTACAAAAGAGCTAGTTATCTCTATGTGGCTATAGATAAAAACAGAGAGAGAGAGAGAGAGAGAGCGCTTTTTTTTTCTTTGTCATTGTTGCTTTCTCTTTTTAATAGAAGAGTCCTAGAGTGGGGAACATCTGAAAGAGAGGCTAATACCCTCACTGCTTTGTTTCAGGCATTGCCTTCAACATAACAGTGATTCCTATATTTCATAAATCCTTTTTAGCCAATCTTTGGTTTATATATAGCAACATCACCATCAAAAAGCAAGCAAACGAACCACACACATACACACCTAAGAGGCTGAGATGAGATGCTCATCCTCCTTCCATACAGCCCCATCCAGACTATCACTGCCAAATTCAGCAAATAAAAATTAGCAAATATTTTATCTGATGGCCCTGGTCCAGGCTGAAATTCTTAATGAAGATAAGAAAGGCCATCTCTTTGCCAATATTCAAGCAATAAACTTAAGTAATTTTCAACAACCCACAAAACCCCTGTGCTTCAATTGCTCTCCAAGTTCTTTGTAGCCCTCCACAGTAAACAGTTTAATTACGGACTCCATCCCCAGCCCGGCCAAGTGCAGGCCGACCAGAGAGGCGCCCCACCGGAGAGGCACGAGATCTGCAGAGACCACATGCCCCACGGTGCCAGCGCACGACCGAGCAGGTAGGCCTTGCCGCCGCCCGACTCCATGCCCAGCCTGGCCAAGTGCATGCCGATCACAGAGGCGGCCTGCTGGAGAGGCCCAAGATCCGCAGAGAACATGTGCCCGGTGGTCCCAGCGCATGACCCAGCAGGTAGACCTTGCCGCTGCCTGACTCCATCCCCAGCCCAGCTGAGTGCAGGCCAACCAGAGACGCGTCCTGCCGGAGAGACCCAAGTTCTGTGCAGACCACATGCCCCGTGGTGCCAGCGTGCAACTGAGCAGGTAGGCCTCACCACCGCCAGAATCCATCCCCAGTAGGGCCGAGAGCACACTGTCCAGAGAGGTGCCTCCCCAGAGAGGCCCAATACCCAGAGTGACCACACATCCGAGGCGCCAGTGGGTGACAGAGCAGACACTGAGGCAGCCGTGTCAAATTGGCAGCCCTGGCAGCATCCTAGCCAGACAATAGTGTTGAACCAGTGGACCATGAAATCCACTGCCACAATGACTAAACATCAAAGGACAGATACCAGAAATATGAAAAATCAAGAAAGTACATCATCAAATGGTAATAACTCTCAAGCTCTAGATCCTATAGAACAAGAAGCCCTTGAAATGTCTGACAAGAAATTTCGAGTGATAATTCTAAGGAAACTAAATGAGATACAAGAAAACTCACCTAGATAACACATAAAATGAGGAAAAGTATACAGGACCTGAAAGAAGAAATGTTCAAGGAAATCAATGCCCTGAAAAAGAATGTAGCGGAGCTTGCCGAGCTGAAGAGTTCATTCAACGAAATAAAAAACACAACAGAGTTTAACCAGCAGGCTTGCAGAAGCAGAAGAGAGGACTTCTGACATTGAAGATGGGCTGTTTGAAATAATGCAGGCAGACAAAAAAAAAAAAAAAAGAAAGAAAAAAGAATTAAAAACATTGAAGAAAATCTAAGATAGACATCAGACAACCTTAAGCGTACAAATATCCGAGTCATGGGTACTCCAGCAGGGAGGAAAAAGGAGATTGCACTAAAATCATATTCAAAATATAGCAGCAGAAAACCTTCCAGGTATAGGAAAAGACACAGATCTTCAGAGTCAGGAAGCTCAAAGATCCCCAACTATATTCAACCCAAAAAGGTCTTCCCCAAGACACGTTATACCCAAATTGGCAAAACTCAAAGACAAAAAGAGAATCTTAAAAGCTGCAAGAGAGAAGCATCAAATCACCTATAAGGGAGCCCCAATCAGACTAACATCAGACTTTTCATCACAAACCCTAAAAGCCAGAAAGGAATGGGATGATATATTCAAAATACTAAAAAACAGAGATTGCCAGCCAAGAATACTCTACCCCGTAAGGCTATCCTTCCAAAATGAAGAGCAGGGCCGGCCCGGTGGCGCACTGGAGAGTGCGCTGCTTGGGAGCGCAGCGGCACTCCCGCTGAGGGTTCGGATCCCATGTGGAGACTGGTTCCCACTCACTGCCTGAGCGTGGCGCGGGCGCAACACCGAGGGTTGCGATCCCGTTGCCGGACCCCAGTACAGGCGCGACATTGAGGGTTGCGATCCCGTTACCAGTCAGTAAAAATGACAAAAAAAAGGAAAAAAAAAAAATGAAGAGCAAATAGTATATTTCTCAGATAAACAAAAACTGTGGGAGTTCACTATCACACGACCACCCTTACAAGAAATTCTCAAGGGAGTACTCGGTTTGGTACCTGAAAAATAACTACCACTGCCATAAAAACTCAAGAAAAATCAAAACCCACTAGTAAAATAAAAATGGCAACAATGAAGAGGAAAAAAAAGTTTATCTACTACGCAAGGAACCAACAAATACAGAAGACAAACAGTAAATCAGAAAAAAAGGAACAAAAGACACTTAAAACATCCAAACAAAACTCAATAAAATGCTAGGAGTAAATCAAAACTTTTCAATAACAATTCTTAATGTAAAAGTCTTAAATTCCCCAATCAAAAGACAAAGACTGGCTGACTGGATTAAAAAGGAGGACCCAACT